GTGCATATTTTATTTTCGATCAATTATTCCCTCCCTATATTTATCTTCTCATGAATTGAATTGTATTGAATGTCTTCGTGTAGAGATTTTTTTTTCTCAAAATACTGTACAATTGCGTATAATTTCGGGAGTGTAAATGACATTGAAGTAAGATAATATTTGAAAAATGTATATATTAATTTTTGCATATACAAAAGTAACCCTACTTAATTTATTTTCTAATTTCTGACAAATGTAGAAATACGCATTAAACTGAAAAATTTAAAACATGAGTAAATTATTATGATCGCTAATTATTATTTTCTATTACTTATTTATCGAGCAACGCTGTGAATCGAAATACCTCGATTAATTTTATTAAAAATAAACGATTTACAATCTATAAGATATAGATAATAATTGGATAATAAGCAAAATTATATGAGTTTATACATATATATATATATATATATATATATATATATATATATATATTATATATTGACTATATATAAAAAAAGAAATTAAATATTTAATGAATAAAATATTTTAATTATTGAAAAGCAGTATATTCTATTAACAAAATATAATATCATGTCCTTTCAATAAAATGAGTTATGTGTATTTTTGACATCGGTTTAAAAGCAAATTTAAATAACATAAATTAAGCTTTATCATTTAATTTTTTATTTGTTAAGGGCAATGTCATTTTGTATTAAAATTATTCATTATATTTCTTATTGGAAAATTTATTACTGAAATTTTCTCTAATATTTCGTATATTAAGTTGTTTAACTGCTTTCCCGAATGATCGATATAGTTCATTAATTAAACGCTACTCTATTAAAATCATGTGTGTATGTGTGGGCGCGCGCGCGCGCAGTAGAGGGTGTAATTTCATTAAAAACTTTAAAAATATATTTTCTCATTACTTAATTTCTAATAATTTTTCATACATGTATAGAAATTATAGAACTTAATTTAAGAAATAATATGCTTCCCTGCGCATATTTTTTCAGTATATATTTTTTCTTTTACATAATTTCTTCCATTTTCTCTGGCTCTTCCTCAATCTTCAACCTTCTTAAGCTTTAATTATTCCCCCCCCCCCACCTATAATCCTTTATTCGGCTATATTTTTCTTCTTAATTTTTTCGTTTATATTAAAATGTAAAGTGCAGTTTATAAGGTAATTTATATATATAAATTCGTAATTCAGGAATCCAAAAATTAAATATATCCTTACTTCGTTCCCGAAAAAACTTTATTATTATTAAAAGACCCTTTACTCCATCGATTAATATAACGCAATCCACAATAAAAGGAAATCTTCTTGAGTTTATTTTTATAATACACAATAACGTTATTTCTCAAATATATTTTCATATTTCATACTAAATGAAAAATGATTAAAATTATCGAAATCTCTTGATCAATAGGCATTGAAACGCAACATAAAGACTCTATGTAAATATGCCTAGTTAAATCATTCTTACATAGTCCTTTCATTCGAGCTTTATGAGAAACTATTCTTCCTGAAGGCCAGCTATATCAAAACAAAGTTGCTCGATTGTAGAATATCCAAACGAGAAAATGACAGAGAAAAAGTGGTAGAGTTGGGTCAGGAGCAACGAAGAAGAGGCGAACGACCAGCAGAAGCACAGACGACAAAGAATTCATGAAATATAGAAGCCGGCGGGGGAAAAAATGACGGATCGCACATTTAATTTCCTGTCCCCGGCATCGGATCTCGCGCGCAAAGGGTTAAGTCGGAGGGGTCGGCGAGAACCCCATGGACACCGTAATAGTGACCGAGGCCACGCGTTTCCCGGATCATTCGATAATAAACGGTGCCCTCATCCCACCCACGCCTGGCCCCGAAGTAAGGCTGGGGCAAGTAAATTAGCCAGGATCCTGGGCACAACGGAGCTAATTAACGCTGAGCTAATTGTGGTCAACTCGTTCGTACGAGTCGTCCCTTCCTGGCCGCGTTATCGATTGTCGCGCGGAGACAGTTCGCCGAAAGTCTTCATTTCCTGAAAGTTTAAATGGGACCGCGTGTGGATTGTCGTATTGGCTCGGCCTTTTCGCCCGTTGAAATACTTCGTTGTAATGAATTTTGCTTCGCCCTTCTTTCGACTCGGCTTGTGCGAATACGAGGGAACAATTAAAGCTTGCGCTTGAAATGCATTTGATGTGCGCTGATTTTGGATTTCCGACCGCCCGAAGAATAAGCGGATATCATCGGCGATTATCACAGGGAGACTCATCGATGGATACGAATTCCAATTATCCTGTGCACGTTGATTTAACGTGATCATGCGATTTTCACATGAGAATAAAAGTAAACTAATTGCAATATCAAAGATCAAAATCTAGCTTCGAATAGCGTCTCTGAGCTCGCAAAAGCGTATATTTTGCTTATCAAATGATTGAGATTTAAATCTGGATTTGGTGTAGTTTGACTTTGTTTACTTCAAAGGCCATTCAAGCATATATATATATATATATATATATATACACGCGCGCGCGCACACACACTTAAATGTGTAAATATTGCTTTGAATATAAATATTTAAACTGACTTTGATTTCCCCTCTCTTTTCCATAAATAATTTCATCGTAATGTTCAACTGTCGTTTAACGTAAAGGATATTGCTAATAAAAAGGCATGATTTCGTGCCTTTTGATTACATCGTCTGCCAATTAATCAAGTTAATTAAACGTTAATAAATTTATAAGATCGATATTTAATAATAATACCGCTATAAATAATTGCATATTACGGATATTTGATTATTTTATAATACATTACATTATGAGCGATAATGGCATTCGAAGCTTAATATTGTTGAAATATTAATAATTCAATCTTATTTTTTGTATATTATGAGTTAGGATTTCGAGATTTAATACTATTAAATGACAAAAGTATCAAAGTCAGGTTAGCGACATAAGTAGGTTTATGTTCATTTTATGTGATCCACTAATAATGCTACCAAGTCAAAAAAAAAAAAAAAAAAAAAGGAAAATACAACGTATGCAAAATAAAAATAATAACAACCAAAGGGGCAATTAAATTACTCTCCCTCTATACTTGATATCTGTACTTTTTATCTAAAACCATTATTCTTATTGTTTATTGAAGCTTTATTCAAGATAAATAAATAATGTAAAATGTGATAATTTTAATAGCATTTTATCAATATCTTACTTAACCTCTGTTTTAAACAAGCAAAACATTTGTCCTTAAATTGAAACTTTTATATACTGTAAATAATAGTGTTAGTTTTATGTATGTTTCTGCCGAGGTGGAAAATCTTTTCTATAGTAGATTGTGTTCTTACAGTATCTCAAACGAAACTTTGGAAGTAAAGTTTTTAGCTAAATTATTTACTTATAATGAATTAATTCCCTCTGTAACTTGGCCGAGTGGAATCATTAGACGAAATGTTGTATCATGAAACCTTATTTTATAAACTCAACTCACATTGGATAATCGATAAAGATTTCAATAGGAAAGTAAATTTTTTTCATCATATTCCCTGCCTTACCCAATTTTATTTACAGTTATTTAATATCTGGTAATAATATCCTGTCTTACTTTATCGTGAGATTATACTCTCGCCAGATACTACTCGCGCAACCGCGACTTCAAATCGTCCAACATCCCTCCGAATCCCTCCATGTTATTTTAGAACCCTCGGTATTTACTTATGACATTTATCGACTCGTGATCTGTCCAAACTAACTGTTTGCTATTTAGAAATTATATAAATTCTCATCCTACCACCCTCCCACCCACCCCTCCTTCCATATCCAAGAACTACTTATGATTTTCAATAAGCCTAAAATTCTTCAAGTATTCTCATTTTTTGTGCATTGTGTACAATATCTAACCGTATAAATTAATACGTAAATAGAGTCTCTTTTTTATTTTTTTTAACTTTATATGACAATTTGAATTAATTAATTACGCTTATATAGCAACAATGACTTAAAACATATAATAATTTTATGATTAAGTGTTATTTATAAATTTGTGAGCCTCGTGATGTCGAGTCTTTATCAAGCTTTCATAATTTTAAATTTAACTAATTGCACTTAGATTGTACGTGATAATTTGACGATAATGTCTCGGAGAAGCGAGCTAAAATATTAACTAATATAATTAAAATATTCATAAAAAAAACTTGTCAATATTAGATTATTGGATTTCACTGCTATTCCTCATATCCTAATTTATTCAAAATTGTAGAAAGGATAATTGGGACGTGACATTTAGAAAAACTAATTCATATAATTGATCGTTAAGCTCATTGCTACACTATAATTGATTATTATTAAACTGCGACTCGTATATAAATGTTAAATTCAATGAAGCGATTGCAGTGAAGATTAAAGTGAAGTGAAAATTTATTTATTTATATAACAACTATCGCAATCTTGTATTAAAAGCTACAATGAATTATAGATTCGAGATACTAAAACTGTAGAAGCTATTTTCTTCTTGCGAAAATAAGTTCGAATGTAACGCACAAATTATACGTGTGCAGAAAGTGTAAAGTATAAATATTACATTTACACGCTGACGTTCACATTCGTTTTCGAAAAACTAAGCTAAGTAAATGATTCAACGATATTTATTATGTCCATATCATCCCTCTAAATATGAGAAACTTAAAGTAGAGGTTTATTTCACGAGCACTTGCCCAGCGGCAAAATTCCCAATGCATTAGAAATTTATGCGTTAAAGACTTGATGATAAGCCAGTCGTAAAATCCATCCAAATATTTGAGAAAGACACGCGCTGGCCTTTATAAGAAAAATAAACACTGCCGTCCCCCACAGCTTTCCATTAAAAATATCAATGAATTTATGGGAAAGGCCTGCACCCATAAATAAAAAATCACGCCCCAAATGTTGTATGAATACACATATAAATAAAATGCTGTCGTACGCGCGCGCACGCAACGGCAACAGCACAAACAATCCCGCAATTGGCCGGACATGTATTACAGATGTCTGCTCTGCAGGTGTCGTGGGTGCGACACAGGGACATCCACCTGCTCACCATCGGCAGCTACACCTACACGAACGACCAGCGCTTCCGGGCGATACATCAAATTCAGTCGGACGATTGGGTGCTGCAGATAAAGTTCCCTCAGCATCGGGACACCGGCATCTACGAGTGCCAACTGTCCACGACACCGCATATGAGTCACTTCGTGCATCTCAACGTAGTCGGTGAGTCTCTTCTATCGCTACTACTTTTATGCCTTTCTCCAGCGTGATCTCACATTTTTATTACCTCGGCCTTTGTGGGGAGAGCAGTTTGCACGTTCGAGATAGCGCGAAACGTCGCAGCATTTTATTTTTCGAGTTTTACATTCAGCAAGAAATGACGTATACGGAGCCCTTGCAAAATAGGACAAGAGTCGCTAAACGAAATTATTCTTTTCTATCAAATTTTCAAGCGCTGCATTTCTATTTAATTTTATTCTTTTCTTAATTTCCAAGTCGATTGCACGCCTAGGCTCCCGAACTTGTACGAGTATCAAGGATCTTTAGCGTTCGGTTGAGTAAGAAATTAAAGATTTTCCAATGCACATTTACAACACGTCGCCTCAAACTAATATAGATCGTTTAACGTCACGTGCAGATAGATAAAAGAAGCATTGGAATACATATTTGGTCTTTTTTAATATGTATTCGATTTTCGATTTTATTCGAGTTTAAATACTTTCTCAGTCACGGCATTAAAATACATTTCAATGTACGTGCGTGCGTGTGTGCATAACGTATATTTTTTAATTTGAATTAAATTTCAAAACCTCGCTGAAAAGATGTGAAACTGAAATAGAGTGAGCGCAATTTGCAAAACAAATTTTACATCGTAAAATATTTCCTTTAATTATGTAGATAATTGTGTCGATTAGACAGCTATTACACAATTACTAATCTCAAATCTTTCATTTTCGATATTTAAATAAGTTGCGCATACATTAAGCTTGTTCATTGCTTTTAAAGTTGCTACAATAATTAAAAATTTCTTATGCGAATGAATATTTAATGCCACTATTATATTTTTAACTATTAAAAGAAGATATGAATAAAATATTTAATATTCATTGTAGATTTTATATTAATATAGAGTATTTATTACAATACCGATATTTAAGTGATAATATTCTTAATCATCAATAATAATGGAATGTATCGAAGCCATTGTCCATAAATTATCAAATTATAATTACAACTATCCATAAACCTTATTGAATTCATGACATACATAATTATATTCCATTTAAAATCCGAAGCTCAGTTCATTAAGCATATTTGAATTTTTTTTTTATATTTGAAAGTTTTGTAATGGTAATTAATTAAGCAAACAAAAATCATGAGAAATAAAATTGAATATGGCATTATTGAATAAAAGAAAAATTTATATTCAATATCAAATCAATTATATTCAATTCGGACCAACGTTAATCTTTAATACATAAATACATACAAAATGTGATCTATGCTAATAATTTTCTATTGTACGATGATTAAATCATTTAATTAACTACTTGATAACCAATTACAGCATCTCAATATATTTTTTTATTGTACCGAGAAATATTTTATATTGTAAAATAGGCTCGTGAATGAGCTTATAAATTTAATATGTAATGATAATCAAGAAAGAGAAACTGTGACATGGTAATAGGGGTGTAAAGATAAGGATATCGTAGAAGGATACCTGTAGAAGGATATTAAACGTAAACTTACAAGTCGGTGTCTCTCCTTGGGTCAGCCTAGTGAACCACCACTTACGGAAAGTACCCACACTACACCTCACTGAGATATATTCCGACTCCTTACTACGACATTATACTCGATCGAAAATACATATTTTGTATATAGACTCGACAGTTGAGTACTTCTGACGTTACAATAAACGTAAAAATAATTAAAACTTTGTTCACAAACAATCAAATAATTACATTTTATGAATCTTCTCTGCTAAACATCCACAAGCGACATATCAATTCATTCATTCCTCTGCGTACAATCGTACACTATTGGTAATATAGCAATTTACAATTAATAATTGGCCATCCTGCCCTACAAAGATTATTATATCAATACTAGAAATAATTCAATATATTATCAATATCATTTCATCCAAAACTTGTCGCTCACTCTACCTCTTGATTTTATATTGAATATTTAGAGAAACACCATCGCAAATACCCTGCGTCTGCATTAAAAAGTAATAAGGAGTTATGTATAAGATATTCCAATGCTATCTTCGGTCTTTTCTCTCTCTCTCTCTCTATCTCTCTCTCTATCTCTCTATCTCTCTCTATCTCTCTCTCTCTCTCTCTCTCTCTCTCTCTCTCTGTCTCTCTCGGTCTCAATAACGCATAGAATACTTAAAACACGTGACAAGCAACTTAGACCAACTACTTTCTATCAATATTCCAACTAATGTTCTTCCGAGTGTACCTTTGTTCATTTTAATAAATCCATGAATTCTGAATATACATATCTAATATTATGTCTTAGATTTATAATAATGCTAGGGATTATATTTTAATTTTCAGTAATTAAAAATTCTAGCCGTTGCTCGTGGATTTTTCTGCATAATAAATCTTTCAAATTACTCGAGATCAATTTGAAATGAATATAATAGAAATCACGAGTTCCAATCATTTTAGCATTTTAAATTTGTATTCCACATAAAGGTCCTTCCATCTGCCTCAAGTACATTATTAATATAAGAAATAAAATGTCAAGGCTCCCTATTTTTCATCAATATTTTACAATTAATCGCAAAAATAAATAAAATAAGACGTTCTCAATCAATAACTAATTTTGCAAGTCATGCTGACGTTCAGAAATTGAGCAGAAATGCATACGGATCGTTCGATAGAAGTTTCGTAATAGCCAAGTGGGACACACCAAGATTACCTATTGAAACTTGGTCTACTGTCTTCGTTCATGGGATGACTAAAGGCATTCGTTTTCCTCCTAACGAAACAAGTTTGCATTCGAGCGAGCGCACGTGGCACTCGCGCGATTACCAACGATAATATGAATATGATTAATAAATATGAATTCATCGCTCATCAAGAAACAGAAAATGTATGATAATAGCGATGAAGAAATTTGTTTAATTATTTTGTTTGATCAAATGAGAAATATTTTTAATCGTCGAGGTTCGTAATTGATAAAATTGCATTATTCAGCACTAGTAAGTGTTAAATAATATTTAGTAAAATAATACAGCAAAATATATATATATATATATATATATAATTGATTATAAGCATCCAGTAGTAAATATATATTTTAAACAATTTTTAATTTAAATTCCAAATACCTATATATATATATATATATATATTTATAAAATTCTATAATTTTATAAAGCTTATGAAAAAATTAAAGTAAATATTGGATTTAAAAAGCATTTGATTTAAACATAAATTTTTAAACTCTAGCTTTTAGTACTCATTATAACAATATAAAATTAATTATAAACGACTTTATTTGCACTTGCCTGTTTTTCTTCTTCTTCTTTTTTTTTTTTTTTTTTTTTGAATCATGAAAAATAAAGAGCTTTTAAAAAGAAATACTGTGTCATTGTAAATACATTATATTTTTATGAAAAACTACTCGTTTTAAAAATATGAAAATAATTTTTAAAATTGGTGATTGATTGTTGATAAACTTTTTTATCTCTTTATAAACAACTATGCTACAGATGTAAAGTGAATTATCGACTACGTAACATTTTTAAAATCATGTATAAATTCATGCCAAGCTCAGGAAAATGCTGTAAAAATAATTTATTTTTACAAAATACTAGTATTAAAAGATTATAAAAACCTATCTAATAATGAGCTTTGAACAAGGAACTCTTCATACAAATAATAATTCCTTCGATAAGTTAAATCATTCTTATTATAAAAACAATACCAAAAAATTAAGAAAAAAAAAAATATGAGTATAAAGATATGCAGAATATTTTTTTAATAAACAATTTTTCTCTTTAACATTACGCATGCATAACCGAAAATACCTAGTATCCGTATTTTCTACCAATAATAAGAGATATGTTACACAAACGATCGCCGTGCCATCCGCTAAATTTGTTCTCATCTGTCTTTCATCAATCGAGAATCCGCAACTCGTTCAGTAACACAACGTGTCCATTTTAAACCAATGGGAAGAGAAAAGAGCATTTTTACGACATAGTTATACCTGTAGAAAGGTGTGCATATTATACTTACGTACAGTCGTATTGAGCTCATGCAAAAATAGGAACAGCCGTTTCCCAGGCGAATAATATTTGACGCACCATGGTCTTTGTAAAGAATCATACTACTACGAGGACACTAAAGCCTATGTATATTTTTTTTTTTACGGCCCATTGTTAACAAAGGAGTAATCGTAAAAGTTGGCGTATAATTCAACGAGATGATGAACCGAGGGAAGAATCAGTTTCTCTCGTAATGCAAGTAATATGCCCGCGACCGACGCATAAGCAGTTTTGTTTTACAATAAATTTATTATCACATTTAATTTCAAACTTCCACTATTCTTATCTGTAAATCAAAAAAAAAAAAAAAAAAAAAAAAAAAACAATCCTTAATTATCCTCAATTTATTATGGCAGTATTCTCACTTGTTTTAACTAGAATATCGTATGTTAATGAAAAAAAATAATAACGATAAAATAATATTTATATGAGAAATTTTGATTTAGTATAATTAAATGGAAATGTAAAATTTCAAACAACAACGAGTTATTGTTTTTATGCATAATGTACAAATATCTAACACCACATTACCATTATTTTGAGAATTATATATAAAAAATATATATATCGCCAATGAACAATAAAAATTCATCATATTGTCAATATTTTTATCAATTGAGAGAGGAATGAGAACTAAATTTGCCTTTTTTTGAAAAACATAACCTTACTTTTCACGATTCTGACGCACGACGACAGGACATGGAATAATATTTTGAGGATTTTATTTGAAGCATTGAAACTCTTGAAAATTGTTATTTGGAAATTGTTTCCCTCAAAGATCTAAGGAAAAGGAAAAACAGAGTTCGCACATAATTCAATAGTACATATGGCATGGGATCCACAAATACAGTATTCATGACACGACCATGATTTTCCATTATTCAATGCCACCAAAATTTAAAATCCCGCTCCCGCGTTGGTGATTGTCACT